TAACCATATTTAAATGTTGACAATTCTTTATATTAAAATTTCCCTGTTCAAATTACTGGTGTGGTTTCTGTGTCCTCATGCAATCTCTTCCTGAAACTATGATTATAGTTCAGACATTATGCCTTCTCACTCTATCTGCCACTTCCTGTGCCTTTCTTATTTTCTGTCTCCATGTCTTTGTGCTACATTGGCATAATTTCTTTAGCTCTGTCTTCCCATTCTCTAATCCTCTCTTCAACTGTCTCTAATAGCTTTGCTTACTCTGTGCACTATTGCAATTTTCATACTTTTCATTTTTAGAAGTTCTATTTAATCCTTTTAAAATCTGTTACATAATATTTTTATATTTGCTTATTCTTTGATGTAATTTTCAGTTTCTTATTTCTTTAAACATTGTAAATATTTTGTTTTATCTTTAACATATGATAATTCTAATACATGAAATAATTGCAGGACTGATTCTGCTGTCTGTGACTTCTGCTGGCTTTCCTTCAGGGTGACCTATTTCTTTGTGTTTTGTGATTTTTTTAATGTGAGCTCATGTACTTTGGCACTTGTGAGAATTCTTAGAAGCCTAGGCTGAATATTTCTACTGCAGAGAGAAGTTGTGTTTGCTTCTGCAAGATAAAATAAATTCTAGCCTTGAGGTTTATCAGACAACACATCAGACAATATGAATTTGGGCAACAAAGCCAGGAAAAGGCTGGCTTATGGCTGTAAATTCTTAATTTTGTACCCTCTTCCAACCACTACCAAGGTCAAAAAGACATGTTTTTGTTGTTGTTGTTGTTGTTGTTGTTGTTGTTGTTGTTGTTGTTTTTGCTGGCCTCCTCTGTGGGACACGTGTTTTCTGGTTTACCCTTACACTGATGATGATGTACTTTTGGGGGGTCTACAGCTTTATGTGAGGGATCCTATCAGATTCCCCATCCTGACTAAGTCCCTAGGAACCCATGCAGCTATCAAAACTGAAGATCAATGCTACAAGGATTCAGCATACACTCCCAGAGAGAAACCAGTTTCAGAGTTAGGTTTTCTCTCTAGGTTAATTAATTCATTTGACTCATATTTGAATAGTCACTATTTTATGTGCTTGGGACACACTGGCAAACAAAATAGACAAAGTCCTTGTCCTATGGGGTTTACAGTCTAGCAGGAGGGAGGCAAACAACAAAATAAAGAAGTAAATTATATAGTATATTGGGAGATAATAAATGATATGAAATAAAAGAAAGAACAGAGTGGGGGAGGGGCAGGTTGCAGTTTTATATAAAGCGTAAGGTCTCACTGAGAAGATGACCTTTGGGCAAAGATGGAAAGGAGGTAAAAGAGTGAGCCCATGTGGTACTTAGAAGAAAGGCGATACGGGCAGAAGAGCAGGTGCAAAGGTGCTAAGGCAGGAATGTGCCTGGGGGAGTTTTGACGAACTGCAAGGAGGCTGCGGTCACTGCAATGGGATGAGCAAAACCAGAGAGTGGTGAGGGAGGGGATCAGAGAAGAGACAGGGCGGGTCACAGAGGGCCTTAGAAGCCCCTGGAAGGCTTTGGCTTTAATCTGAAGCAGGATGGGAACCAGAGTAGGGTTTTAGGCAGTTTTAATAAAACTAGACGTGATTTGACTTACATTTTTAAAGGATCTCTCTGGTTAGTGGGTGGAAACTAGACTGGCTTTCACTCTAAGTGGAGATGCCTGCTTTCATTTAATTTTGACCTCTGAAGGATCCCCTGCTTTCTTGTAAGTCAGGATACCGTTTTCTTTGTTGTCAGTGGGGCGGCTGTTGAGAGTATCTAGACTACCACGTTGCTGGAAATAGAAGGCACCCTGCTGGTTTTCTAAACACAGTACAAAGCTATTGTCAAAACACTACGGAATAGGCTGAACAAGGAAAAAAATTATCAAAAGGTCAGGATAAAGACAAGACATAGTTGAAAAAAAAATAAAACTAGTGTATAGTATGGCAAAGAGTAATTTAAAAAAAGCATTAGGAATCATTACTTAAGGATTTTTAAGATAAAAACTAACCAGATCCACACTTGACAAATGCTATTGCAATACACTCAAGACAGAGTCCTGCTTTTTTTTTTTTTTAATTTTTTTTTTCAACGTTTATTTATTTTTGGGACAGAGAGAGACAGAGCATGAACGGGGGAGGGCCAGAGAGAGGGAGACACAGAATCGGAAACAGGCTCCAGGCTCTGAGCCATCAGCCCAGAGCCTGACGCAGGGCTCGAACTCACGGACCGCGAGATCGTGACCTGGCTGAAGTCGGACACTTAACCGACTGCGCCACCCAGGCGCCCCAAGAGTCCTGCTTTTTTAACCATAAAACACTAGAATAAAATACAATGGCAATTAAGAAAGCCCAATCATGTCAACAGAGAGAGGGTCTTCAGGTAGAGTGGGGGTGACTGAAGCTTGTACCCTGAATTTTGGTTCCCAAGATTCTTATAAAACTTCTGTGGTACTTACCTCATCTGGGCCCCTCTCCGCACCCAACTATAGCTTGCATTTATAAAGTGCCAATTCACATTTATTAAGTCGTATCTTTAACCCTAAATATATGTCATTTTAGACCACTCAATGAATGCTTAAAATGTCTATACATTAAAATTCCACCTGGGGCACCTGGGTGGCTCCGTCATTTAAGGTCCGACCCTTGATTTTGGCTCAGGTCATGATTGCACAGTTTGTGAGACCAAGCCCCAAACTGGGCTCTGTGCTGACAGCTGGAGCCTGCCTGGGATTCTCTCTCTCCCTCTCTCTCTACCCCTACCCCGTTCTCTCTCTCTCTCTCTCTCTCCCTCTCTCAAAATAAATAAACTTAAAAAAATAAAAATAGAACTATGGTGAGACACAGCAATCCTACTTCTGGGTATTTATCCAAAAGAATTTAAATCAGGGTCTTTAAGAGGTATTAGCTCTCATGTTTACTGCAGCACTATTAACAACTGCCAAGACCTAAATGTCCATTGACAGACGAATGAATTAAAAAATGCTGTATAGGGGCGCCTGGGTGGCGCAGTCGGTTAAGCGTCCGACTTCAGCCAGGTCACGATCTCGTGGTCCGTGAGTTCGAGCCCTGCGTCGGGCTCTGGGCTGATGGCTCGGAGCCTGGAGCCTGTTTCCGATTCTGTGTCTTCCTCTCTCTCTGCCCCTCCCCCGTTCATGCTCTGTCTCTCTCTGTCCCAAAAATAAATAAATGTTGAAAAAAAAATTTAAAAAAAAATGCTGTATATACATATATCCAATGGAATATTATCGGCCTCATAAAAGAAGGAAATCCTGCAATATACAACAACGTGAATGGACGTTAAGGATGTTATGTCAACTGAAATAGTCACAGAAGGACAGATACTGCACAACTGCATTTATACGAGGTATCTAATAGTCAAACTCACGGAAACAAAGAATAGAAACATGGTTGCCAGGGGTGATGGGAGGGGAAATGGGAAGTTGGTAATCAATGGACATAAAATTTCAGCTCTGTAAGATGGACAAATTCTAGAGACCTGCTGTGCCTATAGATAATAGGACTGTATTATACACTTAAACGTCTGTTACAAGATGTTTATGTTAAGTGTTCTTACTACAATAGAAAAAAAACTATATTAAAAAAAGAAAAACCTATATGAAAAAATGGTAACACATGAGTCAACACATGGGTACTTTGCATGAGAGGAGACAAAGGAATGAGGTGGCAAAATGGTAAGAATGCTTATTACACTAAAAAGAAAGTAATACACTTTGTATTATACTACAGAGACAAGTTCTCCCATGAAACATTTTTACCCCAAAACTGATTGGGAATCTAATGAAACCATTCAATCTAACGACCTAGTATCAAAGAAACACAAGGCACGGTATAACGTATTCAATAACAGTGAAGGGATCCAGAGAATTCACCAATCAGGAAAATCCAGAATGCAGGAAATTTTAGGGCCAGTTTTAGTCAGTTTCATCAACAAATAAAGAATAAAAAAAAAATGTTGGCGAGACTAATAGGATAGTAGAGAGACAATTCAACCACATATAGTATGTGAACCTTTTTTGGCTGCTGATTTCAGCAAATCAACTAGAAAACCCATCTATGAGGCAAGATGATAGGGGATACTATGGAATTGTTCATTTCTAATTTGATAATGACATTATGATTTTTCTAAAGTCTTTTCCTTTAAAAATTAAAAAAAAATTTTAATGTTTATTTATTTTTGAAAGGAAGAGACAGAGTGCAAGCAGGAGAGGGGCAGAGAGAGAGGGAGGCACAGAATCCGAAGCAGGCTCCAGGCTCCCAGCTACCAGCACAGAGCCCGACACAGGGCTTGAACCCACAAACTGCGAGATAATGACCTGAGCCGAAGTTGGACACTTAACTGACGAGCCACCCAGGGTGCCCCAAAAGTCTTTTCCTTTTAAAGATATATACTAAAATCTATTTTTAAAAATTCCAATAATACCTGTTCTGTAGTTTTCTGTACTTTTCTCATGACACTGTTGTAGCCTAGGTACTAATCACACACACACACCCCTACCCAGCAGAATTGTATTTCCAAAGCATAGACCTTTTTTTCTCACCTACTATTCTGTGCAGGCCTCAGCATAGTGCTTTGCATACTGAGAGCACTCAAATATTTATTAAATTCTTCATTTTGTTCATGTCTTTTATTTTGAGAGAAAGAGAAAGTGTGTTTGTGTGTGTGTGTGTGTGTGTGTGTGTGTGTGCGCGCGCGAACGTGCCTGCAAGTTGGGGAGGAGCAGAGGGGGCGGGGAGGAGAGAGAATCCCAAGCAGGCTCCACACCATCAGCACAGAATCTGTTGTGGGGTTCGAACCTACGAACCATGACCTAATGCTGATCATGACCATGATCATGACCTGAGCTGAAATCAAGAGTAAGATGCTTAACAGACTAAGCCACCCAGGCGCCCCTTATTTAATTTTTAAAAAGAAAGGAAGCAAGCAAACAAAAAAGGGCCAAGTAGGCTCCAGTGATGAGAAGTATAATTTGAACCAAGATTTATGTTTAATGCGACTTTCTGTACGTGAGGTCCAAACACAAAGTCCTGGGGAACAAAGAGCAGGGATGCAAAGCTGCCATCCTGACTAGTGAAGGGGATCTTCCTTGGGGAAGAAGGTACAGAAACCCCCAGCCATCCTGGGTCCCTCTGACACACTCCAACACAATTGTAGCTAACTTATTATGTGTGCTGTCATCTGTCTCCACCACCAGACTGGGGCCCGACCCCGCATCTGGTCACATGGCTGGACCTGGTAAGTGGTTGACAGCCCAAAGGAAGAAACTTCAACATCATCCAGAGGAGAAACAGGACAGACCACAAAGAGGATCAGTAACATCGTGGGGCCTGAGACAGCAACACCAACTGGAGATTAATCAAAACAGAGACTCTGGATGGGGGGTGTGGTAGTGGGCTGGGCCCACTCGTTCATCTGAGGAGCTGAAGGGAATGGGGAGTGGATCAGGGACTGCATGGACCAGAAAGAGGTGCACTGGAAGGCGGAGGGGATCTAAGGGAGACAGGAACTGAGAAGCAGCTGCCACCCTCCTGTATGACGCGGGGCATGGCTGCCCGAGGCCAGCCTGGTTCTTTCTCAGTGCAGAAGGATGTGGGAAACCACAAGAATGCAGGCAGGGCTAGTGCGTCACAGTGGAAAAGTGAATTCCTGAGCACATCAGGGAGGCTTACTCAGACTAGCCGGAGGAAACCACATTTAACAACCCAGCTACAGAATGAGGATGTAATCAAGTTGTGGCCTGGGCACCTGGAGGTAGGAGGGCTCCTTCTGCCTGTGATAGACGAGGGGCAGGAGGAGCTACAAAGAGGAGCTGACATCTGAGTGGGTCTTGAGAAACTAGACAGGATGGAAAGAGAGAGCAAAACAAAAACACACTGAGCACTCATGATGGTCTAGGTGCTGGTTAGGCACTTGAGTTCCCTTCCAGAAAAGGGGCTACATAGACAAAAATACAACGGTGTGCCTGATTGTCTTCCCCCTCTTTGTCCATTCCTATTCCCTTGTTAGCCTAGAAAAACCCATTAAAGACGAACTGTTTCTTTTTACTTCTAGAAATTCACTCCAGGGCTTGATCAGAGATGGATGTCAAGATATATTTGCAGTGCTCAAAAACAGGAAACCAAACCACTAGGGTTAGATTAGTTAAAATACTACGTAGTCTTCAAAAAGCATGTTGTCAATGATTAGCTAATGGTATGGAAAGAGCTATACCCCATATTGAGTGGGAAAAAAAGCAGTTACAAAACAATACAATCCAACTTTATTTTTTTAAGTATAATACATTTTTTAAAGACTGAAAAATCTAATGTTCAAAGCGTCTATCTCTACATGGTAGGATTATGGATGATAATCTTCTTCATCCCACTATCTTCTATAATGAATGTTTTACTTTTTAAAAATTAAATAAAAACACCCCCAAAATGTTATTTAAACACACACACACACACACACACACACAACTGAAAACAGGCCCACGTGGGGTAGGCTCACCTTCTGTAGGATGGGGGTAGGGCAGGTGTTGTCAAACAAGACTGAGTTGAAGATTCCATACACGCCCTCACCGAGGTGGTACACGATGGTCTTGGGGGTGGAACCGCTTTCCTCTGTGGGGAGGGGAGGGGTCAGGGGAAGTACAAGCAGCAGTGTGAGGGGGGCTGGGGCTGGGGAACTGGCACAATGGTAGGCTCAGCAAGGATGATAGGTAACTGAAGCAAAAAGGTTGCCCCTTCCTCAACTATGGGGTGGGTCCTGCCTCCTCCTATGACATGAGGTTCATGTTGTGCACACTCACCCTTGCAGCTGAGCAACCCTGCCCAGGACATACTTCCTGCCTGCATCTGAGCCCCTGGATGCCCAGCAAAGGCAAAAGAGCAGCCCAACCAAACTCAATACCCCAAGATGTTAAGCCACTTGCTCAGAGACACACGATGGGGCAAGTGCATGAGCTGAAATGAGAAACCAGGTCTCCTGGCTGGATTAGATACGGCAATCACCCAGATTTATAAAGGAAGTAGAAGAATGTCGTCTCTACACACATACACACACAGGTACACACACACACACAGAAGACCTTCTACTGGAGCCCACCACCCTGCCAAATGGATTCTCAGGGGAAGACACACAGACCTCAGCTCTCTTGCCTGGGGTCCTAGAGCAGAAGACAAAACCCCAAGGTCAGAGTCCCTGACCCCACTCGCTCAAGAGGCTGACGGGAGAATTGATCTATCTGAAAAGGCAAAGATGAGTGCTGATGTTGCAGTGTGGGCAGAGAACCATGAGTCAGTCCAGCCTGCACTTGAATCCAGGCACTGCCCCTTACCAGCTGTGTGACTTTGGGCTAGTGACTCAACCTTTCTATGCCTATGCTCTGTCATCTATAACTAGACTTAGACAAATATAAGTTGTTATTAATTATTTTCATTATGTTATGAGAATCACTAGGATGAGTAAGAGTCTGTACTTTGGAGAGGAGACAGACATGAGGTCGAATGCAGGCTTTACTTTTTCCTATTAAGCAATTCACTTGTATTCTCTTTGGCTCTCAATTTTCTCATCTGTACAATGGGTTAGTAAAGTATCTATTCTCCCTGAGGTTGTTTTGATCTCAATCTTCACAAGATATAAACATGCATAGGAAGAAACAATAATAAGTATCTTGGAGGTAAGAAAGGACTTGGTTGTAAGTTTCCCTAAAGCAAGGATCCATCCTTCAAATTCCCCATTCCCTAAAACCAGACCTTGCTCGGCCAGCCACTGTCCCTAGCTTGAGGAAAAAATGGGGCTGTGCTGCCCACCTGGCACCTACCCTCCCTGCCAGGCTGGTCCAAAAGAACCTCCTTCTTAGCGATGATGCTGACTGCCAAGGTGAAGGCCGAAGTCACATAGTAGCGCCCCAGCTCCGCAAGGATGTCCACACCACATCCCTCTGGGAAGTACAGGTCCAAGGCTGAGTTGATCACAGAACAAATCTGGTGGTAGGGGGATGGGAGACAATTACATATTTGAAATGTGGGGTTTACGTACTAAGGACTTGCTATAGCTCCAAGTGTATTTCTTTTTTTTTTTTTAACAGCTTTTTCTCTTTTTTTAAAGTTTATTTATTTTGAGAGATAGAGAACGAGCAGAGGAGGGGCAGAGAGAGACAGAGTGAAAATCCCAAGCAGGCTCCATGCTGTCAGTGCAGAGACCAACACAGGGCTCAATCCCACAAACCCTAAGATCATGACCTGAGACAAAATCAAGAGTCAGACACTTAACTGACTGAACCATCCAGGCACCCTTCCAAGTCTATTTCTTGAAAGCTTCTTTGATTTCAGAAAGAAGGACTTGGCAGCTGCTAAGTTCCCAGCTGGGGACTGCAGACAATTGGCCAAGAAGGTAGGAGGCAAAGAGAGCTGGGTCGAGACTCTTATACTCATGTAAGTCAACTTCCTCAACGCCTACATTATGGGAGGAGGTATTCTCAGATTCCAGAAGCCCTGATATGGAACTTTCTTTTATAAATGACCAATCTGTTAAAAGACACGTGTTTTTTTTTTTCCACAGAAAATAAAGAGAAGAAAAAAGATCAAAACCACCCTTAATTCTATCATGCAGATTGTTAATGATTGTTAACTTTTTGGAGTAGTCCCTTTCTTTTTTTTCTCTTTCATACAAATGCCATTTTTATTATAAACATAATAGGGCTATATATATATATATATATATACATACATATATATGTATATGTATACATATATATGTGTATATATATGTGTGTGTGTGTGTGTGTGTGTGTATATATATATATATATATATATATATATTTCATAACCTTTTACTCAACAGATTCTGTGAATGACCTCAGTGGGTAAGTCATACAAATGTTTCATAATTTAACCAATTCCCCAGTGTTAGATGGACCAGGAAAGTCCACTGGACTTTTGTTATGAACACCGCAATAATGCTCATCCTTGAAGCTCTTTGTGTCCATCAGGGGTTATTTTCTTAGGGTCAGTCCCTGGATGTGGATATTCCAGGACCAGGCTCTTACTAAGGAGAACGACCCCTAGTGGTTAGAGTGGGGATTGCGGTGACACATTTTTCTTGATTTCATCTTGAGAGGAGTACACAGAAGGTGGGCTTTTCCTTTTCCCGCCCTCCCCTTTGATTTCTCATCAGCTCACCCAAGGGAGAACAGAGCGTACCAGGCCCTCAAAGAGTTTTAGGACTTAGCAAATAACACTGGTTAAGCTTCAAATTTGTGCATGGGCTAGAGACAAGCAGAGCTGGGACTCAGAAAGTGACATAACCTCCAAGAACCTCAGTTTGCTCAGCTGTAACACAGGGCTAATAATAAGATAGTTCAGGGGCTCCTAGGTGGCTCAGTAGGTTAAGCATCAGACTTTGCACTGACAGCGAAGAACCTGCTTAGGATTCTCTGTCTCCCTCTCTCTCCGACCCTTCCCCACTCACGTGCTTGCTCTTTCTCTCTCTCTCTCTCAATAAATAAACATTTAAAAAAAGATAATCCAGGTAAAGCACCAAGCACAGTATGCAGCACATAGGACCCACTCACAGTGCCCAGTACACACCCCCCACCCCCCACAGAGCCCAGTACCACACTTCTGACCCCAGGATTACCTCTTCGAATCTCACTTTGGCCCCCTCCAATCCAGGGAAGCCACCACCAAGGTCCAGGATGTGCATCCTGTGGCCCAGCTCAGTGCCCATTTCAAACACAAGCCGGGCGTCTGCGATGGACTGAGTGTAGGCCTGAAGGTCAGGACAGCCAGTGCCAACGTGAAAACTGAGGAGGGAGGAAGAGACTTGGCTTACGTGCAGGGCCCCAGGTGCCACCAGCTCAGCCCCAGCCAGGAGCAACCCTGGACAGGCACATTGGACACTGTGCCCATTCTACAGATGTAGTGACTGAGGGTCTCAAAGGTTAAATGCATTGCCAAGGGTCTTGTGGCAAGTAAGGAGTGGACAAGAGACCAGATCTAAGGTCCACTGGTATTTGGTGTCCCTCCCATCCCTTTGTGCTGCCACTGGGGCTGAGCCTTCTGGGATGAGGACCGGGGCCCTACCGTCAGCCAGGTCTGTATGTACCTGTCAGTGGTGTAGCCTGCCTGTGCTTTAGTTTCCCCATCTATAAAGTGGGGATAAGATCCCACAGGGCTGTGGGATAATGTACCTGAAGCATTTAGCACAGTGCCTGGCATATCCTAAGCACAGGATCAATGAAAACTATACTGTTAGGCCTTTATTATGACTTCTTCCATATCCCTGCAAGAAAAGAGGCACAGCAAAGATGTGGCTGCATAACCTTTGGCCTACAGGCTGGTCTAACTCCTGCAAAGACAGGTCTCTCCGGGAACCTCCAAGGACAAGACCTTGTGGGGACCATGGGGTTGAGTCAGCGGGACACTCCAAACCTTCTTTCCAAAGAGAGGAAAGTCTCCGATGGCAGGACTCTAGGCCTGTGGCCTGAGGACTCTGTGCCTCTGATGGCAGGACTCGATGGCCTCCTTTGGAGGCCCTGAGGGGGCTCTCGTACAGAGTTGATTAATTCCTGGGAAAGGGGCAGCGGGCCCGGCAGGGGTGGTGGGGCCTCCAGGTACTCACCTCACACCCACCACCTCCATGTGGCTCCTCTTGGCATTTTCAAGCAGGTGTCTGCAGGATTTCAGCAACGCCCCAAACTTGAAGCTCAGGCGGCTCGGGGAGTCCTCAGCAGCGATGTGCAGAACCATCCTGAGGAGACAGGCACCTCTGCCGGGTGGACCCCATCTCCCCCTACCCCAGCCACGTCCTCTCCAAGAAAAGGGGTGTAAACTCAGAGCTGCCCGCCCCACAGGTCCCTGACCCCTTCATGTCCCTGCACTGCCGGTCAGCCTCCAGGGCCTGTCAAGTCCATTCTCTGAACGTCCCTGGGCCCATCCCTAGGCCCCTGCCCTGGTCCTGACTTCCTCAGTCCTCTCCAGAAGCTACACCTCTTCAACCAGCCTCCACACCAGCCAGACTTTTCCAACTTTTCTTGCATGAGAGGCACCACTTTTTAAACACAGTCTTATTGAGAACCCCAATATCATGTAAAACAGACAAAACGAAAGCTGCTTTGGGTGAACCACAGTGGTCCAGCCACCTGGCCTCCCCATCATTCTGAGGAGGCCCTCCCTGGAATCCCCAGGGTGTCAAGTGACCACGTGCAAGCCACAGCCCGAGCAGAATGTCCAGCCCTGACCCCTGCCAGAGCCCGTTTGCACCAGGCCCCTGCCCTGTGACCGTGTTGACCAACACGCACTGTTGCCCTCGCCCTGCACACATGGTATGTTCCAGCCACACCAAATTCCTGCTTATGTCTCAAACGCCCCCTGCTGTTTCCGACCTCCTTGAGTTCCTTGCTTCAGCAGTTCACTCTGATGCACTGTCTGTGCGCCCTCCTAGTTCTTTTCACCCCTCAGGCGCACCTCAAATGCCACCTCCTTGGCGCAGCTTTCCTGACCACCCCCTGTTGCTCTCGGCCCGCGACTTTGACCTCCATAATACTGTGGGCTTTTCTCTGCTCGGGCTGTAATGGTTATTCTTGCCTTTGTCCTCGTCAGGCCCTGGCATGCTGGGTCCAGTCCGGGAGTGCCCACCCCAGCCTCCCGTGAGTGTGGCCAGGTCCAGGGCAGGGTCCTCTGCTCCACCTCTACCCCGCCCATGCCCGCTGTCCTCACACTCGGCCCAGCCCCCCACGTGAGCGGTCCTCGGCTTACTTGGCACTGGGGTGGCTCTTTACCACCTTTGCCAGCTCCAGCTCGTTGTCAAAGCTCAGCAGCCGGACCCCATGCTTGGCAGCATACTTGATCTGTGCAATTTGCTTACAGGGGTTGGCGTAGATGATCTTACCGGCGGGGATGCCAATACGCTGGACCAACTCCATCTCTGCCTGTGGGGTCCCAAAGGTGAAGGTGAGGAGGCTCAGGGCCCATCGGGCCCACAGAAGCCAAGAAGCACAAACGAGGGGCAAAGTCATAGCTACGCATGGGGACGTCCATAAGAAGGGGGCCTCATTTTCACACAACAGAGACATGAAAATCGGGACTCACGCTGGTTCACCATTCTCGGACAGGCAAGGCTGCCACAGCCAGCTATGCAGGTAGCACACTGTGCAGTTGAGGGGGGGGAGGTCCCATCCGCAGAGGATACATGGTAGATTTATATATTTGTTACAACTTCCCGGCAGTAAGGCCTCTCATCCTGACAAAATCAGTATATTCATCACAACTGTCTTAAGGGATATATTTCCTAATTCACACAAAGACATGACATGGAGTCATAACGGCCCTGACAGTAGGCATCTGACACATTTTCCTGACAGATTTAACGTTTAAAGATTATCCCTTGATGTGGTGGAAAGTTCACCGAACCAAGTCATCCCACATCCAAAGTCCTGCTGTGCACGTACCACTGTGCCGGGGGACCCTGGCAAGCCCCTGTCTCCAAGGGGCCTCGTCTTCCTCACCTTTACGGAACACTGTTCCACGAGATTGTTGCATTCATGGTGCAGACAGTGATGATGATGAGAGCAGCCATCGTCACTGAGCGCCCACCACAAGCAGGCACCGAATGCGATGTTAGTAAACCTTTTCTGTAAAGGGCCAGTGAGCAAATGGTTTAGGCCGCGTGGGCCATGTAGGTTGTGTGACAACTCCTCAACAGCAAAGCCGCCAGAGAGAATACATAAGTGAATGAGCGTGGATGTGACCCAGTCAAGCATCACAAGATCAGGCAAGTGGCCTGGATGTGGTAACCATCCATGGTTTGCCAACCCTTGCTTTGGATTAACTATCTTATTTACCCCTTAGAATAACCCCATCAGAGGGGCACTGGATCCACTCTATAGAGAAAGAAACTAGTACTCAGAGAGGCTATGCAGCAACAAGGAGGCAGGGCCAGCTTTCAAACTCAAGTCTGACTCTCCATGATTAAGGGAAGGAAGTCAAGAGGAAGCCAGTTCTGAAATGCTATAGCAGGCACAGGGCCATTTTTAGCCACTCTGAGTTTTTGATAAGACTCAAAGGGCACCCGGGTGGCTCAGTCGGCTAAGCGTCTGACTTCAGCTCAGGTCATGATCTCACAGTTCATGGGTTCAAGCCCCGCATTGGGCTCCGTGCTGACAGCTCAGAGCCTGGAGCCTGCTACAGATTCTGTGTCTCCCTCTCTCTCTCTCTGCCCCTCCCCTGCTCATTCTCTGTCTCTCTCTGTCCCTCAAACATAAAAGTTAAAAAAAAAAATTATAATAAGACTCTAATGTCAATATAGCAACTTTTCAGCACGAGGTACTACTGTGACTTATCCCATGTGATGCCAGTAACTGTCCTATGAAGTATTTATTGGCCACATTTTACAGAGGACAAAATCGAGTTCAGAGGACTCCACCTGCCTACAGAAACACAGGTAGTAAGGAGCAAAGTGGGACAGGGCTGGCGTTGCAGCCGTCACAGCTTGCTTTCAAAGACCCTGAGTCTGAGTGGACATGAAAATGTGTTTTTGCTCCCAGCTTCACCACATGAGGTAAGAGAAGAAGCAATGGTAGCAATTTGGGACTTGTGATTTAGCTTCGATTATACTTAAACAGTGTATACTTAGATATATATATATATTTATACTTAAACAGTAACTACTGTTACTCATTGAAGGATCACCATATGCCAGTCATTGCATTAAATATTTTATATACGTGGGACATCTGGGTGGCTCAATCGGTTGAGCATCTGACTTCGGCTCAGGTCATGATCTTGTGGTTCACGAGTTCTAGCCCCGCTTTGGGTTCTATGCTGACAGCTCAGACGCTGGAGGCTGCTTTCAGATTCATTGTCTCCCTCTCTCTCTGTCCCTCCCCTCCTCATGTCCTGTCTCTCTCTCTCTCTCTCAAAAATAAATAAAAACATTAAAAAATACATTTTATATACACTTTCATTTAATCCTCATAGGAATCTTATGAGACAGGAAACAGAGGACAGAGGCTCAGAGAGGTTAAGTGACTTGTCCAAAGTCTCACAGCTTTCGAGTGGCAAAGCAGACCGGACTGCCAGACTTTAGCCTACACCAGCTCCTAGCCACAGTACTGTAACGGAAAATTCAACCCCAATACTGAGTTGACAAGTGTTTGCTGACTATCTATTAACATGCCAGCCTCTGTGACTGGTGCTAAAGAAAACAAGTGGTGAGTAAAATAAAGTCTCTGACCCTGTAAAGCTTTCAGGTTGGGGAAAGTGGCATGGTGAGACCCAGGTGTGAGGAGTGAAGGACAGCTTTTCTGAGGGTCAGAAAATTAAGCTGAGCTCCACAGGAGGTCATATCCAGGGGGAAAAGGAAAGAAAGAATGTTTCTGGTGCAGATGTCCTGAGGCGGAATGTGCTCGGCCTAGTCAAGGAAGAGAGAGCGCTGGGGGGGCCTGGGCAGGGGGAGAGCAGTGGGGGAAGATAAGGCTGCAGGGGGGTGGGCTGATGTGGATTTATATTTAACCCTGCGAGTCACGGGAATCGGGAATCCGTTTGAAGGGTTTCACGAGGGGAAACGGCAGGGTCAGATTTGCATTTTAAATGCAAGGTTTAAATGCGTATCACTCTGGCTACCATATGAACTCAGGGCTCAGGAAGGGCCCAGAGGATTCTGGAGGGACCGGTCACCATTGCCCTGGGTGAGGTAACAGATGGGGGAGTTGTGCTCTGGAGGCAGGGCTGGCAAGCGTGGTGGTGGATTGCAATGTGGGCATGCCTGACTCCACATCCTGCGGGCCGAGGGGCCCTTCTCGAAGGGGGAGATCATGAGCGCCTTTGAACACCCGGGTTCCGGGCACCCTGGGGTATCAAGTCAGCTGCTGGATAGAAGGTCTGGGCTGGAGATCAAAATGCGGGAGGTGGTGGCACATTGATGGTATTTAGGGCCGTGGAAGGAGATGAAATTCCATAAGAGGAAGGAGAGTTTACAAGAGAAAGGGAGCCTGAGACAGAATCCAGAGGAATCTCCCATCTCGAGAGCAGGAAGTCGGCACCTGGGGCCTATGGAGAGGGAAGGAGAAAGAACGCGTCCAGAAGAGGGGGAGCGAGACACAGATTATAACATCACTCCCATCACAGCAAACCTTGCCTCGCAATTCATGTCTATACAGGAGAAGGGTGTCGGGTGTCAGAGGCGCCCCGTGCGAGGTGGGGCAGGTACGGAGCTGTGTCCCCCATCAATTGATTTGCTGCTGAGGGCTTTACAACTGGGAGCATAGGTGACTGTTGAGTGTTTTTAAAAAGAATATGTCACAAATGAGGAATTGCTATTTAGTGGGCATAAAGTTCCAGTCCTGCAAGATGAATTAAGTCCTAGAGATCTGTAGAACCCTGCCTATAGTTAAGAATACTGTATTGTACCCTTGAAGATTGGTTAAGAGGGTAGATCTCACATTAAGTGTTATCATCACAAAAACAAACAAACAGTCACTGTGCTGAATGCTGTTGAGAATCAGGATAATAAGAGGACCTGTGTCCCCGACAAGGTCTAAATGCATCAACATGGACAGATTTCCAACACCTGCTGAGTTTAAAGCTATTGAGACACAGTACCCACCACATAAATATCTTTTATATTTTGTATATTTTCTATGGATCATATTTGTAAGTATTTTTTTAACTACCACATACCCACCAAACTCAAACTCATAATGGTGATTATCTCTGGAGACATAAAGCTGATGGCCTACGTGTGTGTGTAAGTGAATCAACGGGTTATTTGAATAATTCAAAGTGAATGTTGAAAATAAAGTGCTTACTGGATCCTGGAGATCTCTGGGGACGTTGGTAAGAGGAGATTCCTCAGAGTAGTGACAGTGGCAGTGGGGAAGCAGTGGCTCAGATGCAGGTGCTGAAGCAAAGAGCCAGGTGCACGCAGACAGGCGAGTGTAGACAACTCTGTTTGGCCGTCAAGTGGGAGCATGGGACCGGGCAGGGGGGTGGTATGGAGTCCCGGGAAGGCTTTTTAAGATGGGAGGATGCTGATAGAGACTGCAAGAGAAGGCAGGATGGGGGCAGGGGAAGTGACAGAAGGTCCTTGAGAAGGTGGGTGGGTGGACCGTAGCCCCATGCGAGGCGTGGCCTGTGCCCTTGACCTGTCTGTTGCATAACTGTACACCCGGCCCTTGCTCACACCCGGCCCTCCCTCCGTCAACCCTCCGTCAACGTTGGCCAAGGCGTGGAGCTGTCAGGCGTAGCCACTAGTGATGTCCCACCAGAAGAGGGCAGCCTTGGCCTTTCAAGAAAAGCTGTGCATCCCAGAGCCACCTCTCAGTGAATGTACCCTAAGGCTAGTGATCTTCCCGCCTGCGGGGAGGGGCCTTGGCCTCTCCCAGCCCACGCGTTAGCTAAAGCAATGGTCACCAGCTGGGGCCCAGCTCTGCCATCCTCTCCCCAAGGACAATGGAAAGATGCAGTGAGAGAGCCGGAGACCGCCCCCCTGCCACTGGCCCTACACAAGCGGCCACTTGCCAGTGAGTCCCTCACCCTCTGTGCCTCCTTTCCCGTACGTGAAATGCTTCCTCACAGGGCTGTTGTCAGAATCAGGGTAATAATAATTACCTCACAGGGTTGTTGCGATAATAAAATGAGATCACCTACAGAAAACGCTCAGCAAAGTGCCTGGCCCGACAGAAGCACTCAGCAACGGTACATGCTTTTAATGTCCCTGTGGACTTCAGGATCCTTCTGAGCCCTAACACCCCACAACCCTGCTCTTTGTGGAGGCCGGCCCTGAGCCAGAGGGCCAAGCACAGTGTACCACCTCTGGGTTTCCAGATGCACAGGAGGTCCTTGACCCTAGACTGAGAGGCTGGAAAAGGATCCCCTTCCTCCTCTCTGGGAGCAGAGCCCCCAGCGTGCTGCAGGGGGAGGTCCTGGTCCTGCTACCGGCAAGCTGTGTGTGGCTGGCCGATGGTTTCCTCAACTGTAAAATGGCTATCTCTCTCCCCATGCACCTCCCTTCATGTGACACACGCACGAAACTAGGTGTGCAAAGCAAGTGCTAACGCAAAGGGGCTTTGCAGTGACAATAGGGGTGGACTCAGCTATCACTCACTAAGAGCATGAACACTCGTCTTTGATAAAGGTTAACCTTCTCATTCTCACTGTTCCACCATGGTGCACACCTCTTTCCCACCCAGAATCTTCCTACCCCTGTCATCCTGCCCAGGCTAGCTCTCCTTCTTTCTCCTCCAGGGTCCCCTTCTAGAATCCTCCTCACTAACCAAGAGGTTAAAGAGGAAAATGAAAAGCACATGGAAGCCAATGAAAATGATAACACCACAGCCCAAAACCTCTGGGACGCAGCAAAGGCGGTCATAAGAGGGAAGTATATGGCAATCCAGGTCTTCCTAAAGAAGGAAGAAAGGTCTCAGATACACAACCTAACCTTACACCTTAAAGAGCTGGAAAAAGAACAGCAAATAAAACCCAAAACGAACAGAAGACAGGAAATGATAAAGATTAGAGCAGAAATCAATGCTATAGAAATCAAAAACATGGTAGAACAGATCAATGAAACCAGGAGCTGGTTCTTTGAAAGAATTAACAAAATTGATAAACCACTAGCTAGTTTGATCACAATGAACAAGGAAAGGACCCAAATAAATAAAATCAAGAATGAAAGAGGAGAGATCACAACCAATACTGCAGAAATAACAAATAATAAGAGAATATTATGAGCAATTATATGCCAACAGATTGGGCAATCTGGAAGAAATGGACAAATTTCTAGAAACATATAAACTACCCAAACTGAAACAGGAAGAAATAGAAAATTTGAACAGACCCATAACCAGTAAAGAAATAGAATTAGTAATCAAAAATCTCCCAGGGGCGCCTGGGTGGCTCAGTCAGTTGAGCACCCGACTTCGGCTCAGGTCATGATCTCGTGGTTCATGGGTTCAAGCCCTGCGTTGGGCTCTGTGCTGGCAGCTCGGAGCCTGGAGCCTGCTTCGGATTCTGTGTCTCCCCCTCTCTCTGCCCCTCCCCCACTCACACTCTGTCTCTCAAAAATGAACAAATGTTAAAAAAATTTTTTTTTCATAAATTAAAAAAAAAAATCTGCCAAGAAACAAGAGTCCAGGGCTGGACGGCTTTCCAGGGGAATTCTAACAAACATTTAAAGAAGCATTAGCACCTATTCTCTTGAAGCTGTTCATAGAAATGGAAGGAAAACTTCTAAACTCATTCTATGAAGCCAGCATTACCTTGATTCCAAAACCAGACAGAGACCCCACTAAAAAGGAGAACTACAGACCAATTTCCCTGATGAACGTGGATGCAAAAATCCTCAACAAGACATTAGCCAGCCGGATCTAACAATACATTAAAAAAAATTATTCACCACGACCAGGTGGGATTTGTACCTGGGATGCAGGGCTGGTTCAATATCCAGAAATCAATCAATGTGATACATCACATCAATAAAAGAAAGGCTACGAACCAAATGATCCTCTCAATAGATGCAGAGAAAGCATTTGACAAACTAAGGCATCCTTTCTTGATAAAAAACCCTCAAGAAAGTACGGATAAGAAGGATCATACCTCGAGATCATAAAAGCCGTATAACGAAAGACCCATCGCTAATATCATCCTCACTGGGGAAAAACTGAGAGCTTTCCCCCTAAGGTCAGGAACAAGACAGGGATGTCCACTCTCGCCACTGTTATTCAACATAGTATTGGAAGTCTTAGCCTCAGCAATCAGACAACACAAAGAAATAAAAGGCATCCAAATCGGCCGGGAGGAGGTCAAACTTTCACTCTTCTCAGATGACATAACACTCCATATGGAAAACCCAAAAGATTCCACCAAAAAACTGCTAGAACTGATCCATGAATTCCCAGCCATATTGCTGACAAGGGTTTAAACGGAGTTCCCCTAAAAATAATCATTACTAACCATTAAAAAAATAGCAGTAATGGGGCACCTGGGTGGCTCAGTTGGTTAAGCGTCTGACTCTTGATTTCAGCTCCTGCAGTTCATGAGTTCGAGCCCTGCCTCAGGCTCCATGCAGAGCCTGCTTGGGATTCTCCACGCCCCTTCTGCCCTTCTCCCCCTCCCTCAAAATAAATAAATGAACATTTAAAAAAATTTTTAAAATAACAGTAATGACAACATCACAAAGCAACAACGCACCGGGTTTGCTCTCACCTCAGGGCCTTTGCACTTGCTGTCCCCTCTGCCTGGAATGTTCTTCCCCTAGTTCTCCACCTGGCTTGACCCTTTGCTTCCCTCAGGTCTGTATTCAAATGTCAGTGAAGCCTTCCCTGACCAAACTATATAAAAGTATAATCCTCCCTCCCAACATTTCCTACTTCCCTTCCCCACCTCAATTTTCCCCGTAGCATCGACCATCTTATAAAATAATATAGATTTTCATTGTTGAACTTGTTTTTTAGAAAGCAAGTTCCATGAAAGAAGGGCCTTTTTTGTTTTGTTTGTTTCATTCACTCTCTAAATCCCCACCTGAAATAGGACTTGGCCCCATGAGAGTTGCTCAAAAAAGATTTGCTGAATGAATAAATATATCCATAGCTATGCTCTGAAGAAAATTTTATAGCTTAAAGGCTTTTATCAACTAAAAACAGGATGAAAATGATAAGCTAAGCGTCCTCAACTCTGGGACAAGGGAGCCTGGCTTGCTCAACACTGTGTTGCCATCCCTACTTACACACTGACCAGCACATCGTAGTCTCAACGACTAGAGAATGATAGTAAATAAGCAAAATAAATCTAGAGACAGCGAGAGGCGATTAAGACAACAGCATTAATCGAATTAGAAGGGCAGCAAAATGGGCAACACAACAGAATTCTCGAAGGATTAGTTGAGAAAATGTACTGTCACACATTAATAAGACTATAAAACAAACAAATAATGATAAAAGGTGTTTCCGTTTTGTTTCATTTTAATCGAACATTTTATACCATGTATAGCTCTAGGCCAAGAAGCTTGAAAATCTCCATTGAAAAGGTGACCCACCTACCCAGAGACACACAAGGTTCCAATTTAGAACTTCCATGCCTGTTTTGCCCTCCCTCATCCCTTAACCGCCTCCCAAGTGGGTGGCCCTTCCCAGAGGGCAGGGGCCAACTGCAGGCCACCCCTGCTTCCCCGGCGGGGGGTGGGGGGGGGGGGCCACCCGCAGCAGCCCAGCCTTGTGTGTGTTGAGTAGGCAGCGAGGGGCAGTGCGCCAGTGGGGGGCACGGTCTCACCTTGTTGGCACAACTGAAGCCCAGCCCCAGCTCGGCCAGCACCTTCAGCACACCTGGGCTGCTGTTGCACTTGACAGTGTAAAAGGGCCGGACCCGCGGCAGGCACTTCAGAAAGCAGAAGTGCCTCCTCACGACGGCACCCAGGTCGGCCACGAAGAAGGCAGCAACATCACCCTGCACGAGAAGGGTAAATGTGAGGCCCCGCTCAGCCCCCTCCTGCTGCGGGCCGTCTCTATGGTCCTCCCAGGTACCTGTCCCGAGCCTGAGCCCGGCTCCGCCACAGCCACGCTACTCTAAAAGTCTCTGCACAGAAGGCACACTCCTCAGCCTGCGTTCAGGGGTTCTGTGATCTGGCTCCAGCCCCTCCCCTCGCTACAGCTCAAGCTCCAGCTGCACGCTGGAGTGTTTTCCCACCTCCAAGCTCTGGTTCCCACCGTGCCCTTCACGCAGAAGACCCTTTCTCCGAAAAGGCAATCCACCTTCAAGTTTCAGCTCAAACGCCACCTCCCCCAAACCAATAAAGCAATTCTGCCTTTAATGCTCTCACTGCATTTTGCACACGCTTCCAAAGTATCGGAACCGTGTACACATTCATCTGATAAATCCCTGCGGGCCAAAGCTATGGCCTGCAGCCCACTGTCTTCCACATATAGGTGGTCGCTGAAGCCTTGAGCTAATTCCACGGCACTGCAACCCGTGCCTGTGAGCTGGGCAGCAGATTTGCTGAGGGCTGAACATGAATGAGACTGTGGGTGAGACAGCATCACTTAAACCCTCATTGGGACTCAGTTTCCTGTTTATGCGAGACTTTTTTACTGAAGCCCATTTGGCGTCTGACATCATGCTAAGGGACAGAGATGACCAGACAGGGCTTGGGTCTTGAAGAGAACAAAAAACCCTTTAAGAAATTACAAGCCCGTTCAATAAACTCGACTGGAGTTCCCACAGAAGGCAGTGGAAGCCACGGAGAAAGGGACATAAAAAATCCGCCCCGGAGAATAGGAAAAAGTAACACTGGTGAGTAATGAGGAAGGACAGAAACAGAGCGAGAGAGGCCGGCAGAAGGGCATTCCAGGCAGAGGGAAGAGCCCAGGAAAATGGGGCGATAACAGAGCACATGGCATCGCTGGGGAAAATACCAGCAGTGGTTGGGCTCTGATGGAGCATGATAGGTGGTGGGGAAAGCTGGGAGAGGGACTGTGAAGACAGAGAGTTCTGGCTTGGCGCTGCTGGTCGCGGGGAGCCACCAAACAGTTCTGAGTTTGAGCGTGGCCGTGATAAAGTGGGAGCAGGCAGCATGAGGCAGGGAGGAGGTTAGAGGGCCTCTAGAGAGATGAGGCCTGATCTACAAAGCCAGGGCGTCGGAAGACCACAGGTGGTGGTCAGAGCTTGGTGAGGCGCCAACGAGAGGGGTGTGGGTGGGGGAAGCAGGAGTCCCAGGTCTCTGACCCAGAAGGCTGGGTAGGTGGTGGTGGTGGTTCATCGGGGCAGGGCAGGCAGGAAGGGCAAAGTTTGGGGACAAGGACAAGGAAATGGGGATACGATGAGCCCGTCTCCGGCCAACAGCAAGGACTGAACACCAAATAAGTGAGGGAAGATGAAGGCCTGAGAAGTCCTTTCGGAGAAGGCAGCTGGGCCTGCACAGGGAACAGGGGACCCACCCCCGCTCCCAGCGGCTCACCGTGGTGGCCTGTGAGGCCCCCAGAGTGAGCTCCTCCAACAGGTCTCGGGTGCTGAAGCCCTCCTCCACCATCACAAAGTCCGTTTCGCTCAAGTAGCCAGCCATGCCGAGAAGGAGGAGCCGATGGGCTGGATGGAGCCGCCGCCCCGCCGCCGCCTCAGAAAGTATGCAACACACTGCAGGGAGGGGAGGTGTAGAGTGAGGGAGCTGCTGGAGGGGGTTGCCCTCCGCTGCCCTCTCTGACCTCCCCCAAGCCAGAGCTCTCAGTCCTGTCACACCCGCCGCCAGCACAAGCCCGGGGAGCTTGAGTTCACTGGGAAGTGTGGGGACGATCAGGAACCCTGTATTGCGACAAGGCATTACATGCCTAGGTGTCATTCACTGCCTCTCCGAGCCTCAGTTTCCCAAACTGTAAAATGAATGTATTATTTTGGAGGTCCTTTCCAGTGATGAAACTCGGGTTTTAGCAAAAAGGGAAAGAACGAGAGGGTACAGGAAAGCCAAGAAGCTCCAGTGGGGAAGCTTTCAGGGGACCCTCAGTCTTGGCCACGCCCAACTAAGAGAGTGGCCCCACCAAGGAGTCTCAGCCCGAGAGCAAGAGCTTAGGTTCGAGTCTGCCCTCTGCTGCGTGACATTGGGTACTCCCTAGCCTCAGTTTCAACGTTTGTAAATGGAGGGCCAGGCTGGTCCTGACGTGCTAGGGTTCTAAGGGTGCATGGGGCCACATGGTGGGTGGGGGTCGCAGGCTCCCGGGAGGGAGCCGAAGGCTGAGGTTCTGTCCTGGTGAGCCCTCCCGAGTGCAGGGCCGAGGACCCGCCCCCCCCCACACCGCCTTACCAAGCCCGGTCCTCCTTCGCGGGGGGGCCAGAGCCAGGCGCGCTGCTAGGGGGGGTCGCCGGTGACCTCGAAACTTGTGCAACACCCCGAGGAGGAGTGGCAGTTGCGGAGCCGAGGCCCCTGCTGAAAGGAGGCAAGGGGGCCGGGGACAGGTCAGCACTGGAGCCGAGGGCGCCCGCTCCCGGAGGCTCCCCGAGCCACTCCCCGCACTCGCCTTAAAACGCATTTACACGGCTTCGGCCCATAGGTCTCCCCAGCGAGTGAATCGGTTCCTCGGCGCCTCCGCTCGCCCTCTCCCCCCCCACCCCGCTCGGGCAGCACGGCCTGCGCCCCGCCCGCCCAGCAGCCACCGACCCCACGCCCCTCCTTCAGCCTGCCGTCCGCTTATATAAGCCCCGCCCGGGCCCCGCCCCTGGGCCCAGGCCCCGCCCCTCTCGGCCCCCTCTGTAGCCCTGGCAACCGGGTGCCGCCATCCCATTGGTCGATTCCGACAAAAAGCATTGCTCTCTGCCACCCTGCGCAAACCTGTGTAAGCTTCAGCCCTCCCAGCGGAGCTGGCTTCGCTGCTCCCCACACTGGGAAATGGGAACTGCAGGGCCGCCGCCTCAGAATCCCCAGCGCCTACGCGGTGGGACGCTTAGATCCTGGATCTTGGATGTTAGCGAGGGGCAGGAAGCCAGGAGGTTTCCTATTTGCTCCGGGAAATCTTTTCTGTGACGACCTCCACTCTCCTCTCCTCTCGTGATCTGCTCACTCAACCCTCAACGCCCAGGTCAAATGTCATCTCCTTGTCATCTCCTTTTCTAATAAAATCCTCTTTATTTAATTGACCTCTTCCAGCATCTTCTCTGATTCCTCCAACTCAAAACCCAGCTAACATGTCTTCAGAGAGCCTCCTTGTGACCTTCCCAGCTCAGGGCAATCCCTCCCTTCATCCCACCCTCTGAATGGGGCAAATGCCTACTCACCTCTCAAATGAAATGTCTCCTCCAGGAAGCATTCTCTGAATTCCCCAACTCAAAACATTTCTTCTCTTCTATACCTGACAAACTCCTGTTCACCTATCAAAGTACACTCACTATAATGTCACCTTCCCTGTTGAGCCTCCCATGACCTTCCTAGCCTGCAGGGACAATGGAACTCACAGCAGTTATATCTGTGTGTCCCCCTCACTCATTTGGCTCTTGTCACCCAGAGCATGAGATTCCTGTTGTTTTACACTTCCTGTTTGGTTACACTTCTCAGCTGTTTTGTGAGCTCCCAAGGGCAGGAATTGAGTGCCTGACTTCTCAGAGTGCCCAGTGACCGTATAAACAAGGGTGCTGAAGAAGATTCAGTATCAGTGTTACTCAAAAGCGAATTCAAAAGTTCATATGAGGAGCACCTGGCTGGCTCAGTCGGTAGAGCACGTGACTCTTAATCTCAGGGTCATGAGTTCAAGCCTTATGTTGGGCATGGAGCCTACTTAAAAAAAAAAAAAAAAAAGAGGAGAAGAAGAAGTTAAAAGTTTATCTGAAGCAGTGATTGTATAAGAACAGCCACGACAATCTTGGAGGAAAAAAAAAAAGAGGACTTCCTCTACCAGGTATCAAAATATGTTCTAAAGCTGTGGACTTTAAAACATCATGGTGCTCTGCAGGAAGAGACAGCGGTAGAACAGTCTTCTGCGTATTGGATAATTTGATACATAATGAGGGCAGCATTTCAAATCAGTGCGGCCAAAGGGCTTTTGTTCTAATGTATGTGTTTGTCCTGCCTCAGTATCTCCCTAGGGCATTCTGCACAACCTAATCAGAAAGTGCTTAGCGCACATATGGTGTAGACCATGGAGTATGGAAAAGCCGTTTTCTGCTCCCTGCTCAGCCTGGCTGCATGACTCCTTGGTTGGGTCATCCTGCTTAGACCAAGTTACTTGTGCCTAGTTTGATTACCCCACTGTGAACTGAGAGGGTTCAGACTGAATGAATTCTCTAGGTCCTTCTGCCTGGAACCTCCTTGCTTTCTATACATAAGAACAGTCTTTCAGGGGCAGCCAGCTTTACAGGATGGGTCATTTGCAGGTCCATGCTTTGAGAGATTTGTAGTCATTTGCACCATAGTATGAATCAGTGACATCTATTTTGAATTGAACATCTACTGATGGGGAGGGGGTAGACCAGCATAGCCATGGCAGAAACCTCGAAGGGAGACCTCAAGAAAAGATGACAGTAAGAGAAGAGGAGGGGCGCTCAAACAAATTTGGCTGTACTTTTTTTTTTTTTTTTTTTTTTAGTTGTTCTTTGAGAACAGCTGTCTGTACCTGGATACTATGGTCTAAGTCCACCTCACTAGCTCTTTTCATCACCTGGTACATAGTAAGCACATAATGGGCACATTCAATATTCTTGCTGAATGAATCAATAAAGGTAAGAAGAAACAAGCTAGAATCCACTCTGTTCATTTGTAATCTGTCAAGGGTTAGTAGTCACAGCAGAAAAATCTATAACCTGGACAGGATACAGACACACTGTGGATTTATCTTTTTCCCTACTGGATATGGGATGTCACTGAATCTCCCTGACAACCTTACGTCATAGGGGCTATAATTGTTCCCATTTTACAGATGAGGAATCTGAAACTCAGAGAAATTCGGTAACCTGCCCAGGGTTACAGAGCAAGTGAAGGTGGAGCCTGTATTAAACCTATCTATCCATCCTGATTCAAACTTTATGCTTACCTGCCAACCAGTGCCTGAGCATTTTGGCCCCAGCTCAACAAAAGTCACCCAGTCATCCTGCTGGCATCCAACCCAAAGGCTGGTGGCTCCTCTCCTGCCAGGCTCTCCTACCACTCTTATCTGCGCACAGCCCTCAAAGACATGTTGTTGAAGCAGAACAAAGAGCCTCTGATCTCTGGCCAGGATCATGTCAGTCTGTTTCAATCCATTCTTCCTAAACCAATCATAATTCTAGTCACAAACACCACAATAATAAAAATGCCTTAACGTGTGCATAGAACTGGAGAGTTTACAAAACACTTTCTGGTTCATCATTTCATTCTGGCTTCCCAATCCTTCGTGGGATTGGATGTCAGGTAAATTTAGGTTTGGCTGAAGAAAATAAAAAGCCACAACCCACAAAGCCGTAAACAAACACAGGTTTATTCTACCATGTCCACAATATAACACTGGAGGTGGGCAGCCCAAGTCTGGTGTGGCATCCCCACAAAGTCATCAGGAACCAAGGCTCCTCCCCTCTTTCAACTCTGACATCCTCAGCTCCTTCCTGGCTTCTAGCCTCATGGCCCAAAATGGCTGCTGGAGCATTCCCAGGACTAACATTTAACCAATATGACCAGACAAGTTGTTCATGCCCGGTATCCTCTCTGATTAGTGCCCATCTCCATACTGATTGTTAACTACATTAAACACCAGCGCTGTATATCGTAGGCATCAGGAAGGCTCACTTCAGGCAGCCGTCACCAAATCGCACATTTGTTAATTTCCTAGGGCTCCTGTACCAAAGTACCAAAACCTAGGTGGCTTCAAACAACAGATATTTATTGTCTCACAGGTCTGGAGGTAACGAGCCCCACATCAGGGTGTGAGCTGTGCCATGCTCCTCTGATGGCTCTAGGGGAGAGTCTTCTCCTGCTCACAAGGCTGTCTTCTCACTGTGTGCCTTCACACCATCTCCCCTGTGTATGTATCTGATTCTGTGTCCAAACTTCCCCTTTGAATAAGGGCTCCGGTTGTATTGGACCCACCCAAATGACCTTTTAACCTGATGAACTATGTAAAGACTCTATCTTCAAATAAGATCACATTCTGTGGTGCTGGGGCTTAGAACTTTAACACAATTGGGGGGGGGGGGTAAGGGTGGAGATACAATCTGACCCATCCCACCACCCCAACACTTCCTTTCACATCATTGGCTAAAACATAGATACTCAGGGCCACATAGCTGCAAGGAAGGGATGGGGGAGGCATAGTCGTTAGTTGGGACACATTGTTGCTTCTTCCCACCCCAATAAAGTCAAAATACGGTAAAACTTTGGATTGCGAGTAACTTGTTCTACAAGTGTTCCTCAAGACGAGCAAACATTTCTAATAAACTTTAACTTGATAAACAAGCGATGTCTTGCAATATGAGTTGTACATGATGCTGAACGTCCCCTGACGTTCAATGGGACGTTCAATGAACCAATGATTCTTCTCTCTCTCTTTCTCTCTCTCTCTCTCTCTCTGTCTCTCTCAGGGGCTGTGGGTTATTGTCTCCCGTGTTCGGATGTTCGGTCTCAGGCCATGGTGTTTGGCAGAAATCAGTGACTTTTCAGAACATTGGAAGGTGCCCGCGACTGGCACTAATGTATTTTTTGTCACTTCAAAGCACCGATGGACAGTCCTTTGCTTTTCCATACAAGAGTAAGCTTAGGAATGCTCTGCTTCATTCTAGGTCAGGCTGCCTGGCGTTATAGACCCTCTCCTCTGCTGCCTTATTGTCAGTTACATTAAATACAGTCGATGACAAGAGATTATTAATACCGTACCGTAGTCAGCATCCATGTGAGCGTATACAATGGCCCCCATGCAGAAGAAGGGTGAAAAGAAAGGCGGTGAGAAGAAGAAGATTACGGTGGAAGTGAAGAGGGAAATCACCGAGAAGTAGGAGTGAGGTATGCGAGGGGCCGAAATTGCAAGATTTCATTAGACGGCTACGTTGGCCATCGGCACAATATTAAAGAAGAAAGAAGAAATGAGGGGGCTGGACGCAGCAAAAGAAGTCACGAGAACATCAAAGCAACGACCACGTGTTCTGGTTTGAATACACAAGGAGCAACTAGCAGGCGATAGTGTGACTAAGAACTTTATCTGCGAGAAGGCAAAAGCCTTGTACGCCGACTTTGTAAGCAAACCACCACGTACGTCAACAGAAAAGGAAGAAGGCTTCAAGGCAAGCAGGGGGTGGTCTGATAACTTTAAGAGGAAAAGTGGCATCCACAGTGTCGTGAGGCAGGGAGAGGCTACGAGTTCTGACGCTGAGGCAGCTGAGGTGCTTGCAACAGAATTCCAGAAGCTCACGGTTTCCAAGTGTTACCGGCCAGAACAAGTCTTTAACTGTAATGAGACGGGACTTTTTTGGAAA